CCCTTCTAGCACTGATGATGTTCTCTAGTTGGGTCATGAAATGTCTACACGAAAATCACCAAGATTTGTGAGTAGCAAGGACCTCACAGCCGTCCTCCTCCTTTCCTCAATCCCCATCCCCTTCTAGCACTGATGATGTTCTCTAGTTGGGTCATGAAATGTCTACACGAAAATCACCAAGATTTGTGAGTAGCAAGGACCTCACAGCCGTCCTCCTCCTCCTCCTCCTCCTCCTCCTCTCCTCAATCCCCATCCCCTTCTAGCACTGATGATGTAACCTAGCTGGGTCAGGAAACCCCTCCAAGAAAACCCCTGAGCTCAGAGAGTTCCAGGGACCCTTCAGTTTAAGCCTCCCCCCCCCCCTTTCCCTCTCTCTCTCCGTCTAGGTTCCTGGTGGCCAATCTCTCGGTCCAGAACTGCTTTGAGATGTATTCCTTAGCCCAGGTGCACCACAGCAAGCCTCTCCTCCACGCGGTCCTTCAGCTCCTGATCCGGAATTTCGAGCAGACGTTCGAAGGGGACAATTTCCTCCGACTGGACCCCAACGACCTCACCGCCATCATCTCCGACGACGGGCTCGAAGTGGCTTCGGAGCTGAAGGTCTACCAGGCGGTACGGCGGTGGGTGCAGGGCGAGGCCAGCCAGCGCCGACACTTCCTCGGGCATCTTCTGCAACAAGTCCGCTTCCCCCTCTTGGGTCCCGAGGAGCAAGACATCCTCCGGGAAGATCTGCTGAGATGGGACGATTTCGGTCTCGAACGGAAAGTCATGGACGGCCCAGAACGGTTGCGAGAAAGCTGCGGGCTGCGCCAAGGCATGTACAAGCCGCACATCCTCTGCATCGACACCCAGATGTGCGAGTATCAGCAGCTGGAGAGCGAAGAGGCCCATGTGAGCTGCTACGAGCCGCAGGCCGAAGTCTGGGAGAAACTCCCCGGCGTGCAATCGTTGACCCACGCTTGCTGTACCTCCAACGGAGACAAGATCTATCTCTCCGGAGGCGTCCACAAGAACGCGTACTCCAACGCCGTCTACGAATTCGATGCCTTCACCAACCAGTGGCAGCAGCTCCCGGCCATGGCGGTGCCCCGGGCAGCCCACGGCTTCGTGTTCGACCGCCAAAAACTCTACGCCATGGGAGGCTGGCGCAGATTTCAGAGTTTCCTAAACCTGGCCGAGACCCTGGACCTCGACACGGGGATCTGGACTCCGATGGCCAAGTTGCCCTTCGCCCTGAGCCACCCGGCCTCCAGTGTGTTGCGGGAGAAGGTGTACCTCCTTGGAGGCGCCACCGGGGTCTCCAACCACTGGCTGTTCCACAAGGGAGTCTTGATCTACGTGACAGCTTCCAACACGTGGACACAGGTCCCTCTGGCGACGGGCTTCTTCGCGGCGGGCGCCGTGGCCGCCGAGAACGGCATCTACGTCATTGGGGGTTACACCGAGAAGAAGAACGAGGATTGGCAGGAGAGGGCCCTCGTGCCGGAGAACCGCCACAGCACCCGTAAATGTTTCTTCGTCAACGAATCCGGCAAGGTGAACCCCAACGTGGCCATTCCCAAGCTGCGGCGAGGCCTGGCTAACGCCGCGGTGGTTCGCTGTGGCAAACGGATCTACGTGTTGGGCGGAGAAGATCTCTCCCAGCGGTACAAAGTGATCTATCACTGGCAGCCGGGCGAGTCCCGCTGGCACAGGGCCAGCGCCGAAATCCCGGTGCCGCGAGAAGGCATCAGCAGATTTGGGTGCGCGACGCTGCTGAGACCCAAGCCTCACATCCTCCAACTCTTCCAAGTGACGTCGGTGGTCATTGTGTCGGCGATCGCCAAATCATAGTTCCCGCCAATGTGTTTTGCGTGAACATCAAGCTGGGATTATCCATACAGACAACTCTAATGATGTACAATTGCCGTTGGCTTCTGTGGACCTCTCGAGGTGACTACAAAGACCATGGGCCACAGAACCATCACGTTTTCCGATAGGTTGACTGTCAGATGTCTCCCAAGCGCCAAATCCCAGCAGCTTCGCAATGATTCACCCCGAAGATGTCGGCTGTTCTCACCTGACGTCTTTTAAGACCTGGCGTTACCATCTGCTAGAACTTCGAGGAGGTTTGGGGGGGCCAAACATTTGAAGACGCTGTTTTTCCTTCCTTTCCCCCCCCCCCAATAAATTTGACCGACAATGGAAGGCACACGGTCTCGGAGGGGTGTCTCCTGTGGGATTGAGTGGCTGATTCTGCCAAGTCATTGGATGAAAGAAGGAGGTTCTATTGAGGTTCTTCATCGCTGAATCAATTTGAATCAGGACAGAGCTGGAAGGGACCTTGGAGGTCTTCCAGTCCAGCCCCTTGCTCAAGCAGGAGACCCTAGACCATTTCAATCAGTCAAATAGATCTGGAAGGGACCTCAGAGGTCTTCTAGTCCAACCCCTTGCTCAAGCAGGAGACCCTAGACCATTTCAATCAGTCAAATAGATCTGGAAGGGACCTCAGAGGTCTTCTAGTCCAACCCCCTGCTCAAGCAGGAGACACTAGTCCATTTCGATCCATCAATCAATCAGAATAGAGCTGGAAGGGACTTTGGAGGTCTTCTAGCCCAACCCTCTCCTCAAGCAGGAGACCCTCGACCATTTCAATCCATCAATTAATCAGAATAGAGCCAGAAGGGACTTTGGAGGTCTTCTAGCCCAACCCCTTTCCTCAAGCAGGAGACACTAGACCAGTGATGGCTAAGCTTTTCGCACACTTTCTTATTCT